TTTTTTTTTTTTTTTTTTTTTTTTTGAAAACACGCCCCTGTCAGTGTTAGTGGCCCCCCCTTTTTTTCTTTTTTTCCAAGTACTTTCGTTGTCTACGTGTGGAACTCTTAAGAAGTGCTCAACAGTGTTGTTTGGAATGCCTGCAAGGCTGGCAGAGGCTCTTCTGTTCGTGATGTCTGCCATGCATGAACCATGCAGGCTGACCGACGTTCGTTACGTTCGTTGGAGTGGCTTCTTGGCTCAGATGGTGGTGGGGACCACCAGTCTGTGGAGCTTGCTTTTTTTTTTTTTTTTTGCCCAACAAAAACGACAAAGCCCCTTCTATTCTGGGGGGGGCAACAGTCCGGTCACTTACCACCGGCAAGCGAGTTTTCTACATCCACCAGAAAAAAAGGGGAGAAGAGACGAAAGACGAGAGAAGCGGCCTCGCCCTTGTGGTTGTACGCACCTGGCTAGGGATGGACCACCACAGAGCATCCCTCCCTCTCCCCAAGCCTTGGCCTTTCCTTGGGGGTTGGCCTGCAGGCCGGGAGGGTTTACAAGCAGCAAGCAGTCACGCAGCACAGCTCAAACTCCAGAAACGGCCAGGCGCGCGGCCTGCGGCCTCAGGCCGCCTTTTCAAGTTGTCCTCCTATACTCTTATCTCTGCTGCCTACATGGCCACTTCCCTCCTTATTACCACTTCACTAGTAATACCCCTCCCTGCCCTTGTCCAATTTTGTTGCTGCCCCCTTTCCGCTGCACCTTCACTGCCTAGTATCTCCTTGTCCCCGCATTACCCCTTGTACCCTCGTTTGCCTTCATACCCGCCCTAACCATCCTATTAGGGGTGATATGGGTATCTCTCCCTTTAGCAGCAGCTGTTGCAGATTGCTCCATTCTATTGGTGGGGAGCGGCACCTGCGGGAAACCGCGTTCCGCGTCCCATACCGGGAGACCCTCACCCGGCTTCGGCTAAGAACAAGGAAGGGTGTGGAAATGTGTTCCAAAAGCAGCCAGAAAAACATTTACCAAAGGACAGCCTCTTCGGCCTCCCAGGACCGCCAAATGGGCAGAACCGTTCCTCGCTCGAGACGCAGATCACCTGCACTCCATACCACCGCATATCCACCAGAGAAAGTCGGTGGGATCCGAAGAGGTCTGGGAATTCCAAGGGAGGGGGGCAACGGAATTGCAGCCCTTGAAAGATATGCGGTAGTCTCTCCGGAGCACCTCTTGAATTTGAATTGATTGGCATGTGCGCTCCCATTGGATGTTGGATATCCAGCCCCCTTGTTTGCTCCCCAGCCATTCCTCAGAGCGGGTCTTGCGTGACTCAAGGCACCGTTCTGTCTGTTGGGAAAAGCAGCATCGGTCCCAAAATGGTAGCGTCACGCAAGGACCGCCCGTCAGGGGTGGGAAAAGAAAAAGGGCAGGGGTGAGGTCTGGAGAGGACAACATGGGCGGGCCAGAAACAGAGAAGCCGGTGGACAACACTCGCCTTTGGATGATGGGATGGCGCGAGGCAGGACGCGACATGGTGAGCAGGACGAAAGGCATGATGTGGCAAGGGGACGTCATCTCTCTCTCTCTCTCACATCAAGGGGACGTCATCTCTCTCTCTCTCTCTCTCTCTCTCTCTCTCTCTCTCTCTCTCTCTCTCWCACACACACACACACACACACACACACACACACACACACAACGTAGCTGACCACACAATTACGGTCAGTTCCAGTCAAGCCTGGTTTTGAGTATTGTATCAGAAACTGACAGAAAGCACTTTTCTTGTTTTGTTTACCTTCCTTTTTGCTAGTTATTTCATTTCATTCAACTTCTAGCAGCGTTCGAACTCAGGTCTGTATTTGAACAGTTCAGTTGAGGGGGGTACCAACTGAGCTAGGCCTGTTGGTTAGAAAGCACTGCTCAACAGCAGCAGAATGAAGTGCAATACTGAAGACGTCATGGACTGTACCGATTAGCACAAGCATCACAATTGCACACTCAGACACATATCATGCTCATCACACCAGACAGAACCACGGAAGCTGCAGCATGCTCATCACACCAGACAGAACCACGGAAGCTGCAGCTTAGACTTAGGTTAACAAGTAATAACAACGTTCGGATCGAAAGTCGAAAAGAAAAGTGGTGATGTCAACACGTTGCCAAACTTGCCGCCACACTGGGAAAATGTTGCAACATCTATTCAGAGGATGTTTTTTTTTTTTTTTTTGAAGGACAGTTGGACAGTTCATATCCAGAGGGCAAGTGAGGAGAGAATTAAAAAAACGACAGTTCATATCCAGAAGGCCAATGAGGAGAGAATTAAACAAAAGGAATAGTTGGAAATAGGGGACATGTCCAGACTCCAGACGTGGTAGGGAATCATCAACGCCAACCACAAAGGACAGTTCATAGCAGCAGACCTTTCTTTTCCTTTTTTTTTTTTTCTAAGCAGCAGACCTTGTACAGCAGCAACCACAAAGCGGGAAACACACAACTCACTGCGGATCAAGGCCTGGATGCACCTGACCGCAATTGCGTCCACAGAGAAGTTGAAAAGATCCTTGTGTAGGCATACTCGGTAGTGAGACATCAAAGAGATTTGAGACAATACACACAACTCA